TTCTTTCCTTTTTTCATCAGCAATACTTTTTGCTTTATGCATAGATAAATGTGTCAGTTTACATTTTTTTGTTTCATATATATTGATGCTCCATAGTTTTTAATGTACATTTATATGCTATTTTGTTTCAATATCATGCATTTCTCAAAACATTATCAATATATTTTATTGTAAATCTTTTACTACTATGCAGAAACTCTTCACAATATCTTTTTACTATATTATACTACTTTTACTTTCATTAGCAAAATTAAAATTTTATATAATGACAACAGGTGTGAAGGCTAATGTGGAGCAAAAAAGCAGACGATGTATCCCATTTCCAGTTAACACAAAAACTGGGTTTTGTGTTTCCAAAGATTGTGATGTTGTGTGCAAGAAGAGGGGTAAAAATTTAGGGGGATTTTGTAGGGGGCATAATCCCCAAGGAAAAGACCCTACAAAATGCTTCTGTTGTGGTTTTTGGCCTCCTGATTACTAATGTCGCTATCAAATTATTTATAGTAAAACTCATATCATATTTATTGTAAGAGCTTTATAACAAAATAATAAAACATTTGCCCAAGGTTTGTTGCCTAATTTTTACTAGTAGTCACACAAACAAAACCTGAACCAAGCTTTAAAGGATTTTATTGATTCGATTACCAAATATTTAGGTTGTTGATCATTTTACATAATGAGATAATTTTGATATATCATTCTAAAAAAAACATAAAAATATGCGAACTATTTATTTGTTACCTTTAAAATATACAACTAATTATTTTTTATTTTAATTCTCATACTAAAGATCATTTTAATTCTCGTTCAACTAGATATACTAACTCGAGACAAGAACCACCTATCCTCAGACTCAGTGTTACTGTTACTTAGTCGATTTTTTCATGTTTCTATTTTGTTTTTTTTTTAACAACCTAATGTTTATAGTTTCGAACCAAGTTGATCTATTTTACTAAGTTGTGTGTCACATAGTCCTCCAAAAATAAATCTTTTTGTTTCTCATATTGCCACGTGTTTACTTCTTGTTGCATAAGATTTGTCCTTAATTAGTGGATGCATGCATCCACACACAATAAAATTTCATCTAGTGCTTGAAGGAGAGGACATTCTCTCAAATCTATATGATCTGATTTTTATAAAGCAGACCTGACTACACAACTATGTTAGAAACGATCGAAGAACATGCGTCATTAGCAAGTCATGAGCACCTTTCCCGATGCAAGCCATACGACAAATCTCGCTCCTCAAAAAAAACCCTTAGCTTGCACTCTTGACAGCCAGAGAGCAGAACTGTATGTACCATTCCCGATTTTCCTTCCCATGGAAATGGAGCTACAACAAAGCTTTGATAAGAACTCTTTGTGAATGTATGCACGCCTTGTCTCAAAAATTCGGTGTTACTTGAATCACAACAAAGGTTAAAATCAAGTCTCATCATGTAGAAGCCAATGTTGCACGTACATAGGTCCAAACAAAGGAGGTTTTGGATCTATGTACGTGTCAAAATAGGGAGAAACCGCTTGATAAGAACCGAAAGAAGTAACTTATTTCATCGTGGGAAAAAAATGCCAAAAATGGAGAGAAACTGCCTCCAACACTAAGCAGATCCTATCAACCTTAGAGAACACCTAATGAAGGAAGGTTAATGAGTATGGAAGTCATGCTAGGGTGAATTCATGAAATTACCCCACCATACAAAATATCAGCCTGAGACTTTTTTAATGATTTCTCGTTTGGAAAGAAAATTAACTTAGTCGAGATATCCGCCAAACTCATCATTTCATCCATGAAATTCTATAATAGAAACAAATACTTTGATAACAACATGGCGCATTATATACAACAGATGGTTGAAACCTCCATACATTTCCGATCCGAGAGGTATGTATGTGAAAATACTTTGGCTCAAGCTTCGCCAGACCATCACTCGTCTGGTTCACTAACATGCGTAGTGGAAATAAACACTCTTTAATCCAACTACATTGATGCATTTTCTTACCAATTCGCTAGCAATAGAAAAATGACCAAAGTATTAAACAATATGTATCAAATTTTGATAAGAAAGAATTATTTTTAGTTGAAATATTTTTTACATAGTACTATTTTAGATTTAAAATTATTATTTTAAATAATCTAACGCTCTAAGCGATTTCAAAACAGTTGTCAAGTGATTTCCGTGTTTTTTTTGTCACGCTAGCAACCGCTCGCAAACATTGAGGAAGAACCAGTCAAGTCTAAGTTATAAAGTATTTGTCTAGCCTCGGATGATAACAGAAAAAAAGTCAAAATTAAAGGGTTTGAGAGTTACTCAATATAATACAAGATATTTAACTAGATAGACTACCATCCCATAGAACATACAAACTGGTGACTGTAGAGTTTATGCAATTAAATATATTGAATTGTTAACATGAGGTTATAAATTTCATGGTCTACACGATTAACACATCAAAAGGATTCACGAAAAAATTGAGCAAAAATGTTGGTTGAGTCAAAAGGTGGAGTTTTGGTTAATATTTTTCGTAAGAAATTTATTCACTTAGACTAATGATTCAGAACTTTTTAAATTATTTTTATAAATTATTAATCTTCTTTGAATATTGGAAACTATCTATACTATTAATTGAGAATCACTCAAACTAACAAACCTTATTTTGGTAGATTAATTACAATGAATGCCATTAGAATTATTGAATTTAAAAAACAAAAGAAAAAAATTCGAAAAAATATATTCAATAACTATATATATATATATATATATATATATATATATATATATATATTTTGGGAAATTTGGGTATTTTCTAAAACATAATAGTGAAATATTGAGAAAATATTGATAACTTCCACTAATTATGTAAAAATTAAAGGGAAATTGTTAATAATGCCACTTTTTCAATGCCACTTTTCAAAAATACCCCTTTTTTAAAACCTTATAAAAAATGCTCTTAAAAATATAAGATTTACCCAAATATGTATGTAATATTATTAAAACATACACAAACTACATTTCTATGTATCTAAAATCTTATAAATACTTTATAAATACCTTATAAATGCATTTTAAATACCTTTAAAAACCTTTAAAATATCTTGTAAAACCTTTGAAAAACCTTAAAAATCCTTTAAAATAACTTGTAAAACCTTTAAAAACACCTTATAAAACCTTATAAATACTTGGATCGAGTCTTCAAGTAGTAGTTACAATCCATAAGTACCTTATAAACCTAATAAAACTTTATAAAAATTTCAGATTTAAAAAGGGGCATTTTTGAAAATGGACATCTAAAAGGGGCATTTTTGAAAAGGGGCATGAGAAAAGGGGTATTTTTGCTAATCCCCCTAAATTAAATACCTAAACGAAAATACATAAAATACGTGTATTCCATCCGAATCCTAGACGTACACGATATACAATCACAAACGAGTAAATTAACGCTTATGTGATTAAATGTGTGTGGTAGATATGTGACCATACGGATTTTCTGTCTCAAAATTGATATGTCTATTTTATTTCTCTCTTTTTAATTATGTAATTGTCTTTACTATAACCAAAAACAAATCCGATTAATTATTTTGTCTAAACCAAATTGAAACTAAACCGAATATCAAACTGATATGAGGTAGGATAATGAATGTTATACCAAATATACTTCTACAAACATAACCCCGCACGAACGTGCGGATCCGAATCTAGTTATAGAGTAAAAGGGAAGAAAAGGTAATAAGGAAAAATTGAGTGGTGGCAGTGGAACGTTTGTTTGTTTGTTTGTTTGTTTTTTTTTTTTTGTGGAACGTATTGGTGGGGGTAACATTGATCTTTTTAAAACAAATTACTCCATTTACCACACACAACAAAATATTTTCTAAATTTACCATTATTTTTCTCTATAGTTTGTCCACTCCCATCTTCGACAAATAGTCAAATACAATCAGAAATTTAAAATCTATTAATACTTCCTTAATTTATCACGAGATTTTCTTTTGGCTAAATTCTATTGAGTTATAATAACTCAAAACCAACTTCTTTTTTTTTTAACTCATAAAGTTTTATCTCATCTCCTATATGAGATTTTTAATGGCTCGTCCTAGATAGGTCAACAAATATGGTTACGCACCAATTTAAGAAGTAATCATTGCTTTCTAATTCAAATTTATTAACAATTAATGGATAGGCTATATGTCTTTTATTTATTACTTTATATTTCATTTCACTTAGCTTTCGACCGAAGTGGGATTCTTAACATTTTTTTATCTAATATTTTCTCTTGTATTCAAATTAGTAGACACTAGCTAATCTCACTAGACATCTATATATTTATCTTAAGATATATATTTTATAAATTTCAAAAAAAGAAAGAAGATATATCTTTGATGGGCAAACATGATCTCTTCAAAGAGCACCAAGTCAACACAAACCATATTGTAAGTTGCATACTATCTATAAGAACTTTTCAAGTCAATCAAGTCAAGGCGTGTAAAGTACGGTTAATCATCCTATTTGACAACGACATATTTACTTTGAAAAAATTGAATCCATTTTACATTTTATATAAATAACTCACCTAGTCTGTGTATCACATATCCTCCACTTCAAAACAACACAAAATTATTATCAAGAAACACCAAAAAAAAAAAGAACAAAGAGCTTAGTATCAAAATGAAAGCGAGATCAAGCAAAGGAGGTTTGGTTGCAATATTGGCTGTAGTTGTTTATTGCTTCTTCGAGAATATGGGTGAGCCAAAGTTTCTTCTCATGCAAATATATAATTATGTGGTAATTACATGTACCTTATAAATTTTTGTAGAGAGTATACGATATATATTCGGTCTTATGCTATTTTTTTTTGTTTTCCCAAATGAAAATACTTTTTTTTTAGTAATAATTTATTGTTTATGATAGATGGGAACTCGATCGATGTTTCTCTTTATGAACCTGTTGGAAGTTATTTTCCTGGAGGTTTCTTTGCTCTCGACAACAAAGACAAGATGCTAAAATCGTTCCCATCTTTTAACGAGTGTCTCAAAAGATTCAATCTAGCCTCAGGTTTTGTTTTTTAATAATTCTCTAACATTAATTTTTTTCTTCGTTAGTGATTACGCACATTTCAAATAATCTGTTTTAAGTAACTACTCTATATAGTTGATACAAAAAGAACTAAGAGTTTATGCATCATCTTCTTATGCTTATTCGATGTATATATTTTATGCAGTGGAAATTTGGCAAACAGTGAGAAGCAAGTGTAGAGATGGTTTCATCACTTTGAGCATAAAATCATTGCACTTTTTCGTCTCGAAGTTTACGCAATTCAGATATTCAATATCAACCGCAACTCCAATGAGTCGCTCGTGGACTTCTCGAATTATTTTTTGGGTAACATTGACTCGATCAGTCTCGTCCATGGCTAATGATAAAGCTCTATGATTAATTTTTTCATCTTCATAGATAAGGTGTGGTTTTGTGATATGTAACTCTGTAAGGTGACACTCGGAGATGCTTATATAGAGGAAGAAATAAATAGAAAGAAATGAATTCAAATAGATATTGTTGGAAATTTAAGAGTAATTAATCAGTTAGATAAAATTTTCCATGGATGCTGTAAAAAAAAGATCAATTTTCTATGGATTATGCCAATTAAAGTGTTGTCCAAAAAAAAAAAAAATGCCAATTAAAGTTATTATGGACTAGGAGAAAGAGAAACTGCCCAGAAATAATTATTAAAAAAAAAGTGCCAAGATATAATTTGATATAATTTTGAATTTAGATTATATGCAGAAGTAAATATTAAACGAAATTGTGCATGACTTTTTAATTAATGTGTGGTTGCAAAAAAAAAATTATATATTAAACGAAAAGGTGCATGAATGCGTGTATGGAAATAACTTTCATACTTTGAAGTTGAACCATATTGATTTCAAAGAATCTCCGAAAAGATTTTGTGGTAATATGCCCTTATCATCTTAGTCACGCCAGAAACCCAATTCGAGTCCATTGCTTAATGTCCGATATTTGGTAAATAACAAAGCTATAATAGTAAATAAAGCGTCAGTTGATGTATATGAGACTTGTCATATGTGCAAGATCTCTATTCCATGGTTTTCCTTAGTTCAGACAATCGGCATATGAAACCTTTTATTACATGTCATCATGGATTCATGGTATGTGTTCTTTGGCTAAGAAGCTTTCGTATTTCTTTTATCTTTTATACGCACGTCATTAGCATAAAACATAAAGCATCAATTTTTGTTCACTATACAATGGTAATTAGCACATAATGTTAAAACAAAAAGAAATGAATTTGTTCGTTTTGGTGTACATGATTCTTCATTTCGCAATTATCGGCAATTCTGACCATCAACCGAAAATCTCGGTTCGGCTCGGTTCGGTTATAAATCGCAGGCCTAGTCATCTCTATATCTATTAAGGATTTCCTCTTTTGGTCGTTTGGCTCCGGAAGATTAGATCTTTCCGGTTTTGTTTTCCTTTAAAATCTTGGAATCTGTTTCCGGTTTATCCGACGTTGTAATGTGTGTTGAGTTTGATTAATAAAACTCCATTGACATGAAAAAAAAATCCTTTGGAAGAAAATGGGTTACGTTTGATTCAAATATAATATAAGGAGGAATTGATAAAACTTTACTAAAATGGAGGACTTGCTTTTGTAAATTCTAGATACTTGTCTGCACTCTTTCGTTTCAGGAGATTGCAGAATTTGGGGGTAAATGCTCTGATGCTTCATAGCAACTTTTTATCACAGACTTGAAGAAGCTTTTATTCTTCGCCGTTTCTCTTCTCAGTGAATCCACGAAGCACCGTTATGCGCAAATTCTGGAGAATTTCTTCTGGGATCGAACCATCGGCTAGAGATCTTGAAACAGATCATTGAACATACGAAACTCCGATTAAGCTAAATGGAATCTGTCTCTGTCGTAGAATCGCCTGCTAGTTCTGATGCAACTGCGTCTCATTTGGTACGCATTTCTCATTTCTCTGATGGTTCTGGTTATCGTCGAGTCTATAGTGCTGTGATTGTGTTGAAATTGGACAAGAATTTGGGTTTAGTTCAATATCAGATTCTGAAGTTGTGATTGTGTTGAAATTGGATATGAATTAGTGTTTTTGTGATTGCAGCCGAGTGTGTCTGTACTTTTAGATGCTCTTGAGCAGTCTGCATCAACACCTAGGATCGCAAATGGTCTTTCGCAGCGGCTGTTACGTTCGTTACAGCTTTCAAATGAAAATAAGCTTTCGTTTAAGGCGTTGAATGGAGCTTGTCGTGTGCTCAGATTGGCTTGTATTCAAGCTAAGGAAAGTAGGAAGTCCGGGTGTGGTAGCACTTTAGTTGAAAGTAGTGACAGTGGAGTTATAGTTGATTCAACTCTTAAGAAGTCTGATTCGAGTCATACTGAGGATTGTTGGTTTGAGTGTGTGGAATCATGCGTGGGGATTTTCACTGAGTTTTTCTCATCGACGGATGAAGCGAAAGTATATGTTTTGCGAAGCTCTGTTTGTGTTGATTGTCTTTTTGAGCTGTTTTGGGAAAAAGCCGTAAGAAATAATGTGATGAAACTCATTATTGATCTCATGAAGGTATATTTTTCAAATTAGTACTTATAAGTCTTAACTATACTTCTATTGATCTTTTAGCTTGTTAAGGAGAATGAAATGGATTTTTTTAATCTAAATTTTCAGATCAGGCCTTTGTGTGAGGAAGACAAAAGCGCAAAATTGCAAGTGTGTTCCAAATATCTAGAAACTTTCACTCAAGTGAAGGAAAGAGAAAATGATTTTGTTGACTTATCTGTTGATCTATTGGCGGGTATGAGGGATTTGATCAAGACTAATTCGAGGGTATGACTCTATGTTTGTTACAGAGTGCTTGTAACGTCTGTTTGGCGTCAGCTACCCCTGCTGTAAATCATTGTCTTTATTTTGTGCTTCCTCTAATTTTTCTCTTCTATTGTTTCGCCAATTCAGTATTACCAAGCCCTATTCCGAGAGGGGGAGTGTTTCTTACACATTGTCTCTCTCTTAAATGGTAATCTCGATGAAGCAAATGGAGAGAAGTTGGTTTTAAATGTCCTTCAAACTTTAACTTCCCTGCTTGCAAATAATGATACATCAAAGGTGATTCTTCTTTTCTTTTGCTCTTAGCTTCATTAAGGATCACCTAAAATGACTTGTTCACTTATCACCTTGGGATGAGAAAAAAAAGAAGGGGTTCATGGAAGAAGTAGATTTTTGTAGCATATTTAGCGACATTAAAAATTTGTTTCCTTAAAGCGTGTTAGCAAAATATGAATATCGCACCTCTCCCCATTATTCATGTAGATAAGGATTTTCTCTGGATTACTTGTGAACATTACTTAACTTTATTTGGGATTGAAGTAATAGTGAAAGAAATCTTGGAAGTGAACTTTGATCTCAAATAGTCAATTAGTAGAACGAAAGACACATGAATTTTTTATTGTTTTGGACGACCTGAGCTACGTTGAACCTAAAGGTTTCTTGCACTAGTATAATTAGTTTTTGCCACTGCTTCCTTGTGCCCTTCAGTTTGCATTTAAAGCCCTTGCTGGCAAGGGTTATCAGACACTTCAAAGCTTATTGTTGGATTTCTTCCAATGGAAACCTACTCAAAGGCTCTTAGACGCACTACTTGATATGCTTGTTGATGGAAAATTTGATGATAAAGGCAGTGCCCTTATAAAGGTGATGTTGTTTTCATAATTTATCAGTTAATGATTTGTTTTTTAATTGTTTTCTAATACCTGGTTCACTGGGGCTAACTCTATTGTCCTGTTTCCATGTTGAATTTTTTTTTCCTACTCAGAATGAAGATGTTATTATACTCTACTTAAATGTACTTCAGAAGGTTGGTGCAATTCTCGTTACTTGGATTTGCCTTTTCCCATATTTTGGTTTGGGATATTTCCTTACTGTGGAGTTGTATGATTTGGCAGAGCAGCGAGTCTTTGCAGTGTTATGGGCTAAATTTGTTTCAGCAACTCCTTAGGGATTCCATATCGAATCGTGCTTCATGTGTTCGGGCGGGAATGCTTCACCTTCTTCTTGATTGGTTTTCTCTCGAAGATGATGATAGTGTTATCTTGAAAATAACACAGCTAACTCAGACAATTGGTGGCCACAGTATTTCTGGGAAGGATATACGTAAGATCTTTGCCCTTCTTCGAAGTGAAAGAGTTGGCAATCAACAAAGATACCGCTCACTGTTATTGGCTTGTTTGTTGTCAATGCTGAATGAGAAAGGACCAACAGGCTTTTTTGACATGAATGGGGTTGAATCTGTAAGTCTTTGTCCCACAAAGTTTCCATGCTTAAAATAGTGCCATCGTACTGCTACAGCTTGTTGAGATAAAGTATACGTTCATCAGTCATTTAAACCTTCTTTTGGATCAAATCAGTTTCCAGTGATTAATTTATGCTGCCATAACTGTATTGAACATGCCGAAAATTTAATTGGTAAATGTTTAGACATCGTGGGGGCTTTGTAGAGGTGGAAAGCTTTTGAATTTATGTTTCCAAGATATGGTGGTACTCTATAGGAGATTATTGATGCTAAAGTGTTAAAACTTTTCTTGGTGAGTAGACAAACTATGACTATTTCTCGATTCTTACTTCTTACCTTTTTTGTAAATTATTTTTCATTCGCAGGGGATTGTAATCAGAACACCTGTTCAATGGCCTGCAAATAAGGGGTTTTCCTTTTGCTGTTGGCTTAGGGTAGAAAGCTTTCCTGGAGATGGCAAAATGGGTATCTTCAGTTTTATGTCAAAAAATGGAAAGGGTTGCTTTGCTGCTATTGGGAAGGATGGACTATCTTATGTTGTAAGACTAATTACATCTTTTCTGAGTTTTTTTTTTCATTCTTTAAAGTTCGTTCGCCTCTCCTAATACATTTTTCTCTTTTTTTATTCAGTCTCTGAATCTGAAACGGCAATGTGTAAATGTGCATGCCAATTTGGTCTGTAAAAAATGGCATTTTATTTGTATATCTCATAGTATTGGAAGAGCATTCTGGGGTGGAAGCCTCTTGAGGTGTTATGTTGATGGGGATCTTGTGTCATCCGAAAGATGCAGGTGATTCCGCATAGATTTTATGTACTAATTTTTTTAAGGGCTTGTTGTAATATCCATAGAATTATTGACAAGTGAGATGAGTAATGTTTGGTTGCTTTCTTTTTTCTCTATCTGCACAGTACTTGATTTCGTTATCTTATGTTTCAGCTATCCCAAAGTTACTGATATACTTACCAGCTGCTTAATTGGTACAAGAATCACGTTGCCACATATCCAAGATAACGATGGACTGGAATCGATCCGAGATGTGTTCCCATTTTTTGGCCAGATTGGCCCTGTTTACTTGTTCAATGATTCCTTGTCTTCCGAGCAAGTTCAGGCCATTTATTCGCTAGGACCAAGCTATATGTATGCATTCTTGGAGAATGAGATGACAGGTCCCTTTTCTGATAGTCCATTTCCTAGTGGTATTCTTGATGGAAAAGATGGGCTTGCATCTAAGGTTTCCTTTGGACTGAATGCACAGGTCATCTACCCTTTTAAACACTTCGTTGCTATCATTTCATCCTGTCTTTACTAATAAACATTCGTTTTCCAATTTAACCAAAAAAAATTTTCTTCTTTTTTAGGCGAGCGATGGTAGGAGATTGTTTAATGTGTCTCGGGTTTCAGATCATCTACAAGAAAGGCTCGCATTTGAGGCCGATATTATGGTTGGTACTCAGCTATGCTCGCGGCGCTTGCTCCAGCAGATAATTTACTGTGTCGGAGGGATATCTGTTTTCTTTCCTTTGATTACACAATCTGATAGATGTGAAAGTGAAGCACTTAAAGAGGAAACTTCAGCTATGCCTTTAAAAGAGCGTATGACAGCAGAAGTTATTGAACTGATTGCTTCTGTCTTGGATGAAAATCCAGCAAATCAGCAACAGATGCATCTTCTCTCTGGATTCCCCATACTAGGATTTTTATTACAGTCTATTCAACCGAAGCAACTCAATCTAGAGACACTTTCATCCTTGAAACACTTATTCAACGTTATTTCAAGCTCTGGTACGTGTTGTGAGTGCCTCATACTAATACTTCACTTCTGGTACCATATATTGCGGTTGTTTTTATACATGAAGTGGAAACGTTTTTCTGATTGTGGTTTGTTTGGAATTTATTTATTTATTTCATATGGTTGGAATCATATTCTGTTTTCCGCAGGTAGTACATTTAGTCGGATTCTTGCCTTTATTCGTTTGCTCATTCAGTATTAAAGTTGTTTGTAGATCACGAGCTGGTTTATTATAAACTTCTTTAAGTTTATTTTTTATTTTATTTTTCTCTATCCAGGGTTTGCTGAGCAGCTTGTGGAGGATGCTATATCTAGCATATTCCTTAATCCTCACATTTGGCTCCATGCGGCCTATAATGTGCAGCGTGAACTTTACATGTTTCTCATCCAACAGCTAGATAATGATCCACGTCTTCTGGGAAGCCTTTGTCGACTCCCCAGAGTTATTGACATAGTATGGAACTTTTACTGGGAATCTGAAAGATACTGTAAAGGAAGCAAGCCTCTTATGCATCCAGCAAGGACTATAGAAGAAAGACCAAGTAGAGATGAAATTCATAAAATTCGTCTCCTTTTGCTGAGCCTAGGTGAAATGAGTCTGAGGCATGTCATCCACTGTAAAAATTCAGTTTTTCTGGCCTCTATATTTTATACCCTTTAAATACATGATGTAATATTTTTTGAAACTTGTACTCAAGTCCTTGTGTTCAGTTTTATTCATAAATTTCCTTCGTTTTTCAGGCAAAATATCTCATCAGGGGACGTAAAAGCTTTGACAGCATTTTTTGAGACATGCCAGGATGTAGCATGTATCGAAGATGTTCTGCATATGGTTATCCGTGCAATTTCTCAAACATCGGTCCTTGTTTCTTTTCTTGAACAAGTCAATCTTATCGGTGGATGTCACATTTTCGTCGATCTTCTTCAGAGGTAAATTTTTGTTAAGGTACCATCTTTTTTCCTCTATAAGTCAAAGCACAATCTCACTCACATATCTTCACAATTTCACGTTTGGCAGGGATTACGAGCCTATAAGGTTACTCAGCTTGCAGTTCCTTGGAAGGCTTCTTTATGATGTACCTTCTGAGAGAAAAGGACCTAAGTTTTTCAATCTTGCTGTTGGAAGAACTAAGTCTCTATCACAAGGGCATAAGAAAATTGGTGCTAGAACGCAACCAATTTTTTTGGCCATGTCTGATAGATTGTTCCAGTATCCTCAGACAGATAACTTGCGTGCAACCTTGTTTGATGTTCTTCTTGGCGGGGCCAGCCCCAAACAGGTATCAGCTCAAGAATCTAATTTTTATTAAGCATTTGTTTTCTACTTCTCAACTTTCTTGAGAATATTGTTGGAAGATCATTTGGAGTTTTTTTTCTTGTAGGTTTTGCAGAAACATAACCAGGTTGATAAGCACAGAAGCAAACCAAGCAACTCTCACTTTTTTCTTCCACAAATTTTTGTTTTTATTTTTGAATTCCTGTCCGGCTGCAAGGATGGATTAGCACGAATGAAGATCATCAGTGACATACTCGATCTTCTTGATTCAAATCCTATGAATGTTGAAGCTTTGATGGTATATACACCTATGGCTGAAAATTCAGATATGCAAGTGTTAAAATGGCAATTTAAAATACAAAATCTTATGTGTAGGAATTTGGATGGAGTGCATGGTTAACAGCGTCAATGAAACTTGATGTGATAAAAGATTACAGATCTGAATTGCTTAATCATGATGACTTGGCATTAAATGAGCAACATTTTGTCAGGGGTCTCTTTTGTGTTGTTCTCTGCCACTATATTTTATCTGTGAAGGGAGGTTGGCAGCAGCTAGAGGAAACTGTGAATTTCATACTCTTGCAGAGTGAGCTTGTAAGTTAATCAAACCTACTTTCGTTCTTTTATCTTAGAACATATTTGTTGTTATTCTGTGCTTATTCTGTTTCATCACAGAATGATGTCCCATACCGGTCTTTTCTCCGTGATCTCTATGAGGACTTGATACAGCGTTTGGTGGAGCTCTCATCTGAAGATAATATTTTCCTTTCGCACCCATGTCGCGACAATGTGCTGTATCTCTTGCGGCTCGTTGATGAGATGCTTGTCCGTGAATTTGGCAGTAGGCTCCTGGTATGGCGCACCTATTTTTTTGGTTTTTCATTCTTATCATGCAGTTGATTGACTAAATCCATGTTGACACGCTGCAAAATCTTGTGAAACTGCCTTCTTGTCCTACGTGTAGTTTGAGACTATGGTATTTTAGGTGCGGTTTTACGTTTTCCTGGATTGTTAACCATGTTGATGTTTAGGTCTTTTGGTGTGTATTAGATTATTCTAGAGTAATTTCTCTTTCCATTCGTTCTTTAATGTACTCGCTATGAACAGTCAGTCAGGGTGGTGAAGGTATTAGTTAAGTTATTGAGTGAAACATCTTGGATTAACTAAAGTCACTCGACACTCTCTAAACTTAAATAACTTCATTGTATTTAAGGTCAATGCTAAGAAGTGGTTTGATCCAGTTTCCTGTTGCTAAGAAAAGCATATGTGTGCTTTCGTTTATACATTGGAGCTTTAACGTCAATGTATTTCTTGCAGTTTCCAGCAATTAGCACTGATTTTTCAGAGGATTTATTACAACTTGGGAACCGTGAGGACCACAGTTTGGGATTAGACGAGAGTTTCCAACGATTTTTGACTGAAGAAATCTCTAGGTATGCTCTTTATGAATTTCATTTTACTGCATCTTTAGTTTAGTGCCATTTACACTTTTGTTTCAAAGTTCTTAGAAAAATAGGTATATGGAGATCATTATCGGTATAAAATATAAATTGTAACAAGATATGCAACCATCTCCTGTATGGATAACTTTGTATCCATTGAAACCAATAATAGATTACCTATATGGGTAGCATAACTTTTAGCCCATGATATTGTTGTAGAGAAACATAAATGGCCTTCCAAGAAAAAAATGACATGTGAGTTAGGGTAAATGTGGCTAGTGTTTTCTATGTGAAAGAAAGCCTTTTACTTGGTTTCTTTCGTCACTGCTCTTTGTAGTTTTCATTTATTTTAAAATATATGAGAAGCTGCTTAAACAGATATTGTACAACATCTATATTCCTTTTTTTTTACGATATAGTACAACATTCCAGTATATGTTTATAAAGAGAAAGCTTTTCAGTGGCTGATCCATGATATTTTCTGCTCAATATTCTTGCTTGCTAGTTTTGGTGATGATGTTATTTTCATTTTCCAGAAACACAGAAAGTCAGCAGTCTTGCACCACGGTAACTGAACTTATGACCAATGAAAGATGGTGGAATTTGTATGACAATCTGTGGAGGATAATATGTGATATAAATGGAAGGGGTCCGGTAAAGATGTCTCCCAAATCTTCAGCTACTGGTCCCTCTATTGGCCAAAGAGCAAGAGGTTTAGTAGAATCATTGAATGTTCCCGCTGCTGAAATGGCTGCAGTTGTTGTGTCAGGAGGAATTGGCAGTGCATTGAGTGGAAAAATGAACAAAAACGTTGATAAAGCCATGCTCCTAAGGGGGGAGAAATGTCCACGAATCGTGTTTAGGCTTGTCACCCTTTATCTGTGCATGTCTTCACTGGAAAAAGCCACTAGATGTGTACAGCAGGTGACCTCACTCTTGCCTTCCTTTTTAGCTGCTGATGATGAACAAAGCAAGAGCAGATTGCATCTCTTTATTGGGTGTTTGCTTTATGTGCGATCCCAGTATGGAAAGTTAGATGATGGTGCTCGTTTCCATGTCATATCGCACCTGATACGTGAAACTGTAAGTTGCGGAAAGTCCATCCTTGCCACCAGTGGTATGAATAAGGATGACAGCTCTGATTCTGGTGGAATCTTCAAAGAAATGGGCTCTATCCAGAATCTTATACACAAAGACCGTGTGCTTGCTGCGGTCACTGATGAAACAACATACATGAAAACATTGATATCTGATCGTACTCGTCAAGTGCAAGCCCTTGATGAAAGGAATAACGAAACATTATCTATAGAACGCAACAGCAAGAAAGCTTTTGATGACGAGCTGCAAAACGTTTTAAAAACTGTTCTTACATGGGATGAAAATAGACGAGTTGCAGTGCAATTAAGCCATGAAGAGCAACAGCAAAATGTTACTGAGAAATGGATTCACATGCTGCGATCTTTGATGGATGAGAGGGGTCCTTGGTCTGCAACTCCTTTTCCTAATAACATTTTAAACCGCTGGAAACTCGACAGGACAGAAGATTCTTGGAGGCGTAGACCAAAGTTGAGACGAAATTATCATTTTGACGAAAGGCTGTGTCATCCACCTTCTACTTCCACTGCCACTGAAAATGAGACTTCAAACGTTATTAATGAAAGCAAGTCTGGTGTGATACATATACCTGAACAGATGAAGAAATTCTTACTAAAAGGCATTCGCAGGATAACTGATGAGGGTGGCCCAGAATCCTGTGAGAATGACAGTAGTCAAAGTGAGGAAAGTTTCATGGATACTTCTGCAGATATCCAGTTCTCTGAGCTTGTGAGAACCAGCAGTGGTCTCAAGGATGTCGGACAGGATAAAGTAGATGCATCTTCTCTTGAAGTTGATACCAGCGAGGTACATATTTCACAGATTTTGAAGGAGTAACCAATATAGGGGTTACGTATAACATGCTTTCGCTTTACTTCTCAGGTTTTGACATCAGTTCCTTGTGTTCTTATAACTCCGAAGAGGAAACTGGCTGGTTGGTTGGCAGTTATGAAAAATGTTTTGCATTTCTCTGGGGAGTTTTTGGTGGAAGGAACTGGTGGATCAGCTGTCTTCAAGAACTTTAGCACTTCAAAGGGTAGTGATATAACAAAGGCTGAAAATAAACAGAACCTTGTAAAATGGTCTTCGCCTTATGATAGTGAGACGTTCCTAGATTTGGAATCAGGAAACAAAAATAAGAAACCCTTAAAAAAGGTTAAGCGCCACAGAAGATGGAAAATAGGGAAGGTAATAAACATCAAACTGATTTGAAAATTTTCATGTATCATTTCAGCATATTTGATAATGTTTCATGGTTGATAGGTGAAAAGTGTTCATTGGACGCGGTATTTGCTTCAGTACACAGCTCTGGAGATTTTCTTCCAGGAATCTGTACCCCCAGTCTTTCTAAATTTTGCATCTCAAAAGAATGCAAAGGAGGTCGGGATGTTAATAGTTTCTACCAGGAATGAATTCCTGTTTCCAAAGAATGTTGCTAGGGACAGGACTGCAATGATTTCGTTTGTTGACAGAAGAATAGCCATGGAGATGGCAGAAACAGCCAGAGACAGATGGAGAAGGAGAGAGATTACAAATTTTGAATACTTGATGATTCTTAACACCCTTGCAGGCAGATCTTATAATGATTTGACTCAGTATCCTGTTTTCCCTTGGGTGGTGGCTGACTATTCATCAGAGACTCTTGATTTTAGCAAAGCATCTACCTTTCGTGATCTTTCTAAACCGGTTGGAGCTTTAGATACAAGAAGGTTTGAGGTTAGTATAAAGCAATGACATATATTTCAATTCTGAGATTAGTGGCATGAATGTATTACCATATAAATTTATTTTTGTTACAGATTTTTGAGGACAGATATCACAGCTTCTCTGATCCTGATATACCTAGGTACATTTGCAGGCATATTTTCTGTACTGAAGAAATATTTTACCCTTTGCACCTTAGTAATTTCTGTTTATGAACTTAATGCAGTTTCTATTACGGGTCCCACTATTCAAGTATGGGAAGTGTGTTGTATTACCTTTTAAGGTTAGAGCCGTTTACATCCCTTCATCGTAGTCTGCAGGTATTTGTTTCCAACTTTGACCAATAGCAGATTTCTGGAGTATTATAGGCAATAATTATGTTTTGAAATAGATTATCAATAATGGTGAATATAAACATATTCACTGAATAGTTCCGTCTGTGGCCAGGGTGGTAAATTTGATCACGCAGATCGTCTTTTCCAAAGTGTTGAGGGGTCCTTTCGAAATTGCCTGTCCAATACAAGCGATGTAAAAGAATTGATCCCTGAGTTCTTCTACATGCCTGAATTTCTGGTGAATTCTAACTCTTACCATCTTGGAGTGAAACAAGACGGTGAACCTCTTAAAGATGTTTGTCTACCTCCATGGGCTAAGGTATGCTTCTCATGCATATGATTTATAGGGTAGTTTCTAGTTGAGCGCTGAATTAGTTTGGAATTTTGTGCGAAAACTAGATATGTACTACATATGTGATTCCTAAGAGTAATTTATGTACTTTAGTGTTTGTCTACCCAATCTTGTAATATGGCAAACATGTTCATGAGGTGTCTTTGGTCCTTTATAAGGGATTCCACCTATCGGATATTAGGATCTATGATTATATGGAGATTAGCGATGTGCAGTAACAAACTAAAGCTAAAAGTTTCTTTTGGTGGTGTTTGGGACGCTAAGGAATTGTAGTGACGGGCTTGGATTCCAGACACCTCCATTATTGCATTCTTATGTTGTTTTAACTCTATGAGAACTTGATTACGAATTGTATATGCAGGGTTCTCCAGAGATGTTCATTGCTCGTAATAGAGAAGCCCTAGAGAGCGAGTATGTTAGCTCACATCTCCATGATTGGATTGATTTGATATTTGGACACAAACAGCGTGGAAAACCAGCTGTGGAGGTACTCTTGATTAATTTTCGAAAACTACTTCTATGTCTTGCCAGCTACTGATGATAGTTCATATTTCATAAGCTTCTCTCTTCTTTGTTTACATGGTATTGAAGCTTCCAAACTGTTTTCTTATTTGGAAAAAAAAAAACTTGAACTGCAGGCTGCAAATATCTTTTATTACCTTACATATGAAGGTGCTGTCGATGTTGAAAATATGGAAGATGAACTGCAAATATCAGCCATTGAAGATCAGATCGCTAATTTTGGTCAAACTCCAATCCAAATATTCCGGAAGAAACATCCGAGAAGAGGGCCACCTATTCCAATTGCACATCCGTTGTACTTTGCACCTGCTTCCATTAATTTGACTTCTATTCTTCCCGCTACAACTCATTCCCCATCAGCAGTTCTATATGTTGGTGTAGTGGATTCAAATATAGTTCTCGTTAACCAGGGTCTAACTTTGTCAGTCAAGATTTGGTTGACAACTCAACTACATTCTGGTGGAAATTTTACGTTTTCTAGCGCTCAGGTATGTTCAGTATCATCTTTTTGGATTCTTTCAATTCGATATTCTATTATCCGACTTCAGTTAAGGCCTCTGTCACTGCAGGATCCATTCTTTGGAGTTGGCTCTGATGTTCTCTCTCCCCGTAACATTGGAAGCCCCCTAGCAGACAATGTTGAACTTGGATCACAGTGCTTTGCCGCAATGCAAACGCCACTGGAAAACTTTCTGGTTTCATGTGGGAACTGGGAGAACAGTTTTCATGTCATATCGTTGACTGATGGCCGGGTAGTCCAAAGCATCCGACATCATAAAGATGTTGTAAGCTGTGTTGCAGGTATGCTCTTTGTTTCCTTCATTTTCCTAGTTGAAGATGATGTTGCTGTCTTAGACGAGCATTGATTGTATGATGCTAGGAAAAATCTGACGAATATTAGATTTCTAGGATAGGTATACACATGAATGTTTGAGTAAATATTCCAATCTGGTGTTATGGTGAAGAGTAACATGAATTGGACTTGCAAAACTACGTAGGTTTTTACACTTGTTTATTCAAATAGGGTTCTCGTTAACCTGTTCTACGTATTTCATGGTTTTCTAATTCCCCAAGCTACTGATGCATTACTAAATATATTGTTGATGCTGCAGTGACTGCTGATTCGACTATACTTGCAACTGGTAGCTATGATACAACTGTGATGGTGTGGGACATTCTCCGCATGAGAACACCTGAAAAGAGGGTTAGAAATACCCACGCAGAAGTACTGCGGAAAGATATCGTCATAGCCGATGCTCCTTCTCATATTCTTTGTGGTCATGATGATATAATAACCTGTTTATATGTCAGCACTGATCTTGATATAGTCATCAGTGGGTCAAAAGATGGAACCTGTGTATTCCACACATTGCGGGAAGGAAGATACATAAGATCCTTAAAACATCCTTCGGGCAGTGCAGTGTCAAAGCTGGCTGCATCGCACCATGGCCGGATTGTTCTATATGGTGATGATGATCTTAGTCTACACCTCTACTCCATAAACGGAAAACATCTGGCCAGCTCCGAGTCAAATGGACGCATCAACTGTCTCGAACTTAGTAAGTGTGGAGAGTTCTTGGTCAGTGCCGGTGACCAAGGACAAATAATTGTACGGTCTATGAACACCCTTGAAGTAGTAAGACGATATAACGGCGCAGGGAAAATAATCACCTCTCTGACAGTAACTCAGGAAGAGTGTTTCTTAGCAGGTACAAAAGATGGAGCCCTTCTTGTTTATTCGATCGAAAATCCTCAACATCGGAAAACGAGCCCAATCTGGAGCATAAAATCCTGATTATATATCTTCTGTATGTAAATTTATGTCCGATTAGTCCATTGGCTTAGTAATGGTGTTCTCGATTTGTGGCTAATCTTTTGTGTTCTGCAGAGGAGACTTACACTTTTCACTGCCTTGTAAATGTGCAATATATCTCATCTTAAGCAGTTAAGATGCATAGACAGTATAGAGGTGTTTAATTGATGTAACATTACCATAGCCAATAGTGATGCGTTTAAAGAGGTAATACGATTTGTAATACATTACAAGAGGATTAAAGTGATAATTTAATTTATACCTCGTTCCCGTTGCTTATTGCTCTCGTGTCTCTGATCAAAAATATGCGAGTATCCCAACTGTACTTCGTGGAACTTGAATTGAACCTAATTTTACTTAGGTAATCTTTCTATTCATTTTCCAATGGCTTTTGATTCCGGGGGTTTTCGGAACTTGCCCGCGTTGGCCTTTGTGTATCTCCGGTCTTATAAGAAAAAAATATGGTACACATACTAATATATCATGAAAGTTTTACACCGTATTGTAACAGATGTTAACTTGATGATATACGAAGGCATAGAAACGATGTTCAGTTCAAAAACACGTGATTAATAATATTTGGGAAATTCTATAATGATAGACCAACTAAATGGTAATTTTTTGGGAATTTTTAAGAAATGCCTCTTTCTAAATGTCCTTTCACAAAATGTCTCTTTCTTAAAACTTTCTCAAAATTTCTCCGAAAAATCTGAGGTCTACCCAAATGTGTGTATCCTTTTAAAAATATACAAAACTACTTTTATACTTGTTTATTTTATATTACTCCATCTATTTCAAAATATACGATGTTTTAGCTAAAAGACTTCAGATTCAAAAATATTCACTTTTAGAAAGTTCAACAAATCATGAAAGAGACTGCATAATATAATTAATCATACAATATTAAATTAATCTATAATTTGCATTAAAACTTGAAAACATCTTATATTTTGAAATAAATAAGTTTGTCCAAAACATCTTATATTATGAAACAGAAGAGTACTATCAATTAAAAAAATATTAACTTCTTCTTTTATTTTTTTTTTATTTTTTTGACAGCAAAACTTCTTTTATTTATTTATATACAATTTCTTTTAAAAAATATTTTTCAACCAAAAACATTATTTCCTACAAGAAAAATCATTAGAATCAAACCCAATATGTATGAATTTTACCTTACCAACGTTTTTGCTAAAAAAAAATCGTTAGATTTTCTAACTTTTTATATAGGAAAATGAAACATTGCAACTTTTTTGGTTCTTTTTTTATGTTTTATTACGAGAAATTTTTTGTAAATAATTTTAGTTAGAAAAGGTGAACAACATGTTAAACAAAAATCTTTACACTAAAGAGTATGTAAAATTTTATATATTTTTTTACCATGCAAACTTTAGAGTCTAGACTAAAGAGTTATATACTCAATTTTTTTGCATATGTATTGGGTTTGATTCTAATGATTTTCATTGTTGGAAATAACTTTTGTGGTTAAAAAATATTAAATAATAATATTATTTTTTATTTAAATATATCATATAAGAAATCAATGTCTTTACTTGACAATGTAAAATTAAGCAATTCTCTCACTTAATTAATTCTAGTAAGATTTACTGGTTTTCATTTAAATTTTAATATCTTAAAATTTATTAATGATTTTTATTACACTTTTAGTTTAGTTTTGAAATAGAAAAAACTAACTATTGTAAGAATTATTGCATTAAAATATATACAAAATATATTTATATTGAATATGGAATGTGTTTTTCTAATTTTTTTTTATGTCATCCGAAATTAGTGTTTTTATATTATACACCACAATATAAAAATATTTTCTTATTTTTGTTTTTAATATTAAAATAAATAAAAGTTTTTTTTTGAATATTTTTGTTGGTCAATGCCGGTCTTCGCCGGAGTCAGTCGATTGGTGTACCGGAATTCTTTGTCTATGGTGTTAACCACATGACATTGTATAGTTCATACATGTGGCCATGCAATATACTTATAGGTGAGGATACAATAGTATACTTGACATGTATTACCATGTATTCTCGTACACTTCGTGTAGCTAGCAATCTTTTTTCCAAATAACAGTAGTTGAATGGGTCTTAATTTTAGAAGTTATAAGAAATGTTACATTTATCATTTTGATGTAGATATCATCACATACTCTTTCGATTTCAAAATAATTGATGTTTTATGATTTTTATTTTTTGCGAATTAAGTGATGTTGTTATTTTTTATGCCAAAAATTAATAACTTTTATTATTTGTGATCAATTGTATTTTATTGAGTTTGTTTTAGGGAAAACACATTTTTAACCCTCAATGTGTCACTGCGTAGCACTTTAAACCTCAAAAGAATTTCACTAGCACTAAAAACCACCAAAATAATTTTACTAACACTTTAAACCTCCAAACTAGTTTTCATGTTTGCACCGCCATAAAATATGATGGAACAATTAATTTCTGTTGGTTTAATATAAATTTATTTAATTTAATTTAAGTTTTAAGTAATTTTATTATTTATTATGATTTTTTGATTATTAAGAAACGTAATAAAAAATTAGATTCCTCCGATACGGAGAATGCTTTGTTTTCTCACAAAATTTTGACATTCTTTAGTTTTTATTATTCTATTCAAGCTTCTCTTGTACCTCATATTCTACATTATTTGGTTTATATTATTATACCAACCTTTCTTGTTCTTAAATCTAAAGTTTCAGAGGTTTAATATCGAAATTTCATCATCAAACGGTGAGTAAACAAAGAAAGTGAAGTTTTTTTTTTGAATTTTTATTAATTGTAATAAATAATAAAATTAAGTTTTTTATTTATTTTTATTAATTGTAATAAATAATAAAATTAATTTAAAACTAAATTAAATTAAATAAATGTATACTAAACAAATATAAATTAAATTTTCCATCATTTTTTATGGTGGAACAAACAGAAAACCTAGTTTGGAAGTTTAAAGTGTTAGTAAAATTATCTTGGTGGTTTATAGTGCTAGTGAAATTCCTTTAAGGTTTAAAGTGCTACCCAGTAACACTTTGAGGGTTAAAATATGTTTTTTCCTTTTTTTATCATAATTATGTGATAACCAGCGATATATGCGGATGTTTTTTTAGGTTTATATAAAAAATATATTTTTTTACATCATCAATTCGAATTAATTTCTTTAGCATATTCATTTCTAATTAGTTTCTGATAACCTTAGTAATCTCTTCCATCTATTGATTTTTTTTTGAATATTTATTTTTTATTCACACTCCTTCATTTAAATCATGATGTTGCAATAAATTTCAAATTTCTTAAGTTACCATTTTTCACATATCTTTGATTCATTCCATTTCTTTTTAAGCTTTGCAACTAGTGACTTCATTTATTATTCGGTAAAAAATATATATTTTTGTTGTACAAAAACTTTTGATTTTATTCGAATAACGAAAAGCAATATCATTGTAGACACTGGGTAGCACTTTAAACCTCAAAAGAATTTCATTAGCACTATAAACCACAAAAATAATTTTACTAACACTTTAAACCTCCAAACTAGTTTTCATGTTTGCACCGCCATAAAATATGATGGAACAATTATTTTATGTTGGTTTAATATAAATTTATTTAATTTAATTTAAGTTTTAAGTAATTTTATTATTTATTATGATTTTTTGATTATTAAGAAACGTAAAAAAAAATTAGATTCTTCCGATACGGAGAATGCTTTGTTTTCTCACAAAATTTTGACATTTTTTAGTTTTTATTATTCTATTCAAGCTTCTCTTGTACCTCATATTTTACATTATTTGGTTTATATTATTATACAAACCTTTTTTGTTCTTAAATCTAAAGTTTCAGAGGTTTAATTTCGAAATTTCATCATCAAACGGTGAGTAAACAAAGAAGGTGAGGTTTTTTTTTTGTTTTTTTTTGAATTTTTATTAATTGTAATAAATAATAAAATTAAGTTTTTTTATTTTTATAAATTTTAATAAATAATAAAATTAATTTAAATTTAAATTAAATTAAATAAATGTATACTAAACAAATATAAATTAAATTTTCCATCATTTTTTATGGTGGGACAAACAGAAAACCTAGTTCTGAAGTTTAAAGTGTTAGTAAAACTATCTTGGTGGTTTATAGTGCTAGTGAAATTTCTTTAAGGTTTAAAGTGCTACCTAGTAACACTTTGAGGGTTAAAAATGTGTTTTTTTCTGTTTTTTTTATCATAATTAAGTGATAACCCGCGATATTTGCGGATGTTTTTTTTTTTAGTTTTATATAAATAATATATTTTTTTACATCATCAATTCAAATTAATTTCTTTAGCATATTCATTTCTAATTAGTTTCTGATAACCTTAGTAATCTCTTCCATCTATTGATTTTTTTTTTGAATATTTATTTTTTATTCATACTCCTTCATTTAAATCATGATGTTGCAATAAATTTCAAATTTCTTAAGTTACCATTTTTCACATATCTTTGATTCATTCCATTTCTTTTTAAGCTTTGCAACTAGTGACTTCATTAATTATTTGGTAAAAAATATATATTTTTGTTGTACAGAAACTTTTGATTTTATTCTAATAACGAAATGACATGTAGTGATGTTTATCTCACACATGTCAAACCGACACAAAAAAATATTATTAGAAATAATATAGTTACATAATATATTAATTAATTTAAAGATAGGAAATCACACACATAAATTATTTTGCAAATTTCTTAAGTTTCACTTATTACATAGTAACCAGCTGAATAATCCGTCGCAAGAACTTCGAGGCACAATGTGTTTGTCATGAGAAAATTTGTTTTGGTTGCAGAATTTTTTGCAAGCATTCTCACATAAAGGAAGAGTTGCCTTTTGAGAAACTTTCATGCATTGATTCGGGACACAATGCTTAACACACACTTCCACCGTACTCGCATATGTTAAAACCATCATCGTAAATAAAACTACAATCATCAAACAACTGTATATCTTTTTCATTGCTTGAGTCGCCGTTGAAGAGATGAGTTTATGGGTGTTCAAAAGTAGAATTTTTTTGCTTATGTTATATAGCGAAAACAAATTTAACAGCATGATTAGTGTTGAGTTGGCTTTATGTAGTTTTATACTTTATATAGCAAAAGTAGTTTTACCCTTTAAAAATTATTATTTTTGGAAGTCTATCCGGTTTTTTTGGGGGTTAATAAGTTAGTATTCCATTGTTATTGGCTGTCCAAACAATCGATCGTTCCAAACTCTTGTTG